GGTGGTACTCAGCATCACGATATCAGGATATTGGGAATAGTGAGCATCGGTATCCCAAAACCGGGATGTGGGAAGGGTCAAAATCAGTAGAGAATGGGTCGACGCCGACACAGCGCTGGCCCTACAGAAACTCCACCATACGGTGCACATGATCAGGCTCGGCATCGCAGTCGGGATGCGCTCCGGTTGTTCACCACCCATACGGTGCAGGGGATCAGGCTCGGCATCGCGGTCGGGCTCGGGATAGGGAAGTTAGGGGTTATGGGATGAGCAGAGTCCAAGTTGCTGAAACTGGGAGAAGATTGACGCACGGAGATTGTCGCTGCTCATCAATCAACGGCTACTGTAGACATGGAAATTCCGCACATGCTTAAAATGTTCCGACCAGTGATCCCCGCCGCGATCGGGACCATGAACCCGGTGACAATCGGGACACCGCGCCACGTGGCACCGTCAAGTCTCCATCCGCTCTTCCTCAAACTGGGACCGCACTTCCTCTCCCATCGCCACGTGGCACCGTCAAATTGGGACCATGAACCCGGTGGCAATCGGGACACTGCGCCAGTGGGACTCGAACCTTAATCCCACGCTGATGACACTTGCTCGCACGGGTGCCGCTTTCTTGCTTAAAGAAACAATCAGATCGCTAACCAACACGACAATCAATCAATCAATCAATCAATCAGCCTTTGATCACACGCTGATGACCCTTGGTCGCACGGATGTCGAGTTCCTTCTTGTAGAAAGAAGCAGATCGCTAACCAATACGACAATCAATCAATCCAATCAGTCAATCAATCAAGTCCAAACTCTTCATGAGCTGCAGTCACATGAGCCGCTCCAGAACAGTGGCAACCCAAACACGACAACTAGAGAACCTCTCTTCATGTTGTCGCCCGCCTCAACTTTCTCCCTCTCTACCCCCTCCCTCTCTACCCCGCCGCACTCGCCTTCCCTTCACGTAAGGCAACCCACCAACCTACTGAAAGGAACCCCCTTTAATTCTGACGTCAGCAATCTGCATGCATTCATCCCTCCATTTCTAAAAGCCTCTCTGATTGGTCGTGCTTTCCGACTTGTTTCTTCCGTTGATCGCTCCTCTCTCTAATTATGGACATCATCTGCGTCCTGTGCGGTACCCTCACTGTTACCACAGCCGTCGTCGATGAGGCGGCCATATTACTGTACTGTATTATACGCTGAGTTACGCTCCCTGTCACAAAAGGGAGACAGGAAGAATACTTCGAATAGCGATAGCCATTAACAGTGGCCAACGCTGTCTCTCGTACACGCTCCATGTCACATAAGGATGAGTAGCAAGAAAGACGGAGAGGAGGAGGAGGAGGAGGAGGAGGACACCGACGACGACGTCGACGATGAGGAGGAAGAGGAAAGGAGGAGGAAGTGCAAGGGAAAGGGAGGAGAAGGGAAGGTATTCGCAACACGAATGCAAGGTGTTGATATCACCATGCGTGCACGCATGCATGAACGCGGTGATAGCTAAATTTAGTATATCCGTCCTTAACCCGTCCCCTCGCTGACGTGTCCTGAATCATCGTCGATGACGGAGCATTTTGTCATCTGTCATTTGTATTGCACGACGATTGACGATGTAACTGGGGACCAGACGGACAAGAACGAAAAAGGGCAACAGAAGGCGGTGAGGAGTAGACACGCGTGCCATCACTTCCCCCCCCCGTATCGCCATCTTGACCTTCCTCACGTAATACTTGATTATGACAAGCAGACATTTCCTCCACCATCTGTACAGCATCATCTCCATAGACATTCTCATCTGCTCCTTCGCTTCCAAGGCCGCAACCACCTCCACGTGTCACTCTCCCAACACTCCCTTCAACCACATCAGCGCACGACGATGACAAAGAGCGGCGCGGCGGGAAAGACGACGTGGACTCTTCAGAGCATCGCCGGAGAACGTTCTCCATAGCCGCCCCCCCTCTCCTCGCCGCTCCTCCGATCATTGACGTCATCGTTTCTTCCACGTCCGTCGACGACGACATCATGGCTTCTCCGGCAACTGACGTCAACGTTTTTTCGTCGGCGACGGCGGAGGCCGACGACGTGGCGCATTCCTCCCTCCCCTCGACTTCTCTGCTGAGTGTGTCCGACTGAGCGGCGCAGGAATGCTGGATACGTGGCGACGTAGAGACGGCAGAAGAGGACTCGACGGCAGGAGAAATCAGAGGGGGAGGAGGGGCTAGAGGAGGGGCAGCAGCAGCAGCAGGGAGAGGAGGAGGAGGGGGGGAGGGAGAGGGGGAATCCCACGAGGAGGAGAAGTAACGCTTCTTTTTCGAGTCCCCCGCAGCAGCTTGGCAGAAAGGAAGACTCGACTCCAGGCTTCGCGCCGAACACCCCTTGATGACACGTGTACCACCGTTCTCATGGCGATGCTGATGATGCTGGCATCTATGCCAGGGAGGCTTTCTGGCTTTAGAAATTAATGATGACGGCGACAGTCTAATCAACGGCGACGAGCTGTCTACAAACTTCTGCAGATCCCTTTTTCTCTCATTCTCACTTCCTCCTCCTCCTCCTCCTCCTCCTCCTCCTCCTCCTCCTCCTCCTCCTCCTACCAATACACCCCCATCGCTGTCGGTTGACATCGTTGTCTTCATTGACATGGAAGGGTCCTCTGATTGATCACCATCGGCCATTTCATCGCCCCTCCCATCTACAACGGCGGCCATATAACCTTCCTCCTCGTTGCGATTATTACCAGAGCATGAACCCCTCTCTCCACCTCCTCCTGCTCCTCCTCCCCCTCCTCCTCCTACTGCCCCCTCCAAAGACGACACCGACGAAACTCTTCTGTCACTGTCGAGGCAGAACGGAGATTCGATGTCCTGATCTCTAACACCCACGTCAATACCATTCTTCCCGCCACAATCCCGATCAGGCTGATCAGCGACCGCCGCCGGTCCTTCTCCTCCTCCTCCTCCTCCTCCTCCTCCTCCTCCTCCATCAGTCCTCCCATTGCGATTAATCCGAGCGAGGGGATAGGAAGAGGACGAACCTCCAGTCGCCATAGCTGAGTCTCCAGAGGACATCTGAGTTCTCATCTGTTGCATGTTGCGTAGATTGCGGAGCAAAGCCGTTCGACGCAGATCGCCACCTTGACACGTGTCGCTTGGAGAGGGAGGGAGTCGGGACTCCGCTACATCCAGCCGTGAGTGATGATGATGATGATGGTAATGGTGATGATGATTAGATCTGGAAAGGAAGTACTGCTGAGGCGAGCAGCTGCCAGGCGAAGCTGCGCCTCCCCCTCCCCCAACGGTGGGAGAGGGAGGGGGTGCTGGAAAAAAGTTCTTGCGATTATTACCAGTGGGAGAGCTGGGGCTTGGAGGGCTAACCGCACCAGAACTCTGACCAGCACCTGGACCAGACCCCGGACCAGGAGAACCTTGACAACATCCGGTGGCAAATCCAAATCCAAATCCAATACCACCACCAGCGAATACCGAATCAGCTGCCACACTGGCACGCCACGTCACACTATCGTCGCTGTCATCACTCATCGGCGAATCCATGTTGGACACGTCATCACCATTACCGAATGTAGATGAGGTCCGGACGCTTACCGTGTCGGGATCTTTAGGTGATTGGAGGAACTGATCCATAACTGACATCGACCATGACGACAAACCACCTCCTCCTCCTCCTCCACCTGCTGATGGTGGACCTGCTACTGCTCCCGAAGTAGCAAAGCTGTCCCCGACATGCAGACCATTTAGACTGCAGCTCATCATCTCCGTTAAGAACCGTTTGTGGGCGTGGTAATTGTCGAGAAAGATAGTGTCTTCATCATCAATAGGTCTAGCGCGCTTGCTGCACAGGAGCGGGGGACTTGGCATACACTCGGAGCACCCACCATTCTTACATCCCCGCCCCGCTCCCCCTCCTCCACCACCTCCTCCTCCCTGTGTCAGTGCAGCACCCCTAACAACAGCTGCCGAGGATAGATGGCAAGGAGGCGAATTCGGCCCACCGGACGGAGGATCCATCACTGCCTGAGATATCAATCAATCAATCAGTCAATCAATCAAACAATCAAACAAGCAATCAAACAAACAATCAACCAATCGCCCAATCAATCAAACAAACAAAAAAAGAAGAAATCAGACGAGCATGATCAATAAAGGGACCAAGGAAACAACCTCATTTGGGAAGGATCTCAACAATCAATCAAGAGTAAAATCAATCCCTATATAAAGTACGGGGCCAGGAACCGGGGAGATTTCCCAACACCTATAAAAGGCTACGATCTCCTTTCCGCCTTCTAGATAAAACTCATCCCATCAGCCAATTAGCCAATCAATCAATCAATCAATCAATCAATCAATCAACCAGCCAATCAATCAATCAATCAATCAACCAGCCAATCAATCAATCAATCAATCAACCAGCCAATCAATCACTCAGCCAATTAACCAATCAACCAACGAATCAGTCAATCAATAAATCAATCAATCAATCAATCAATCAATCCACCGATCAGTTCGTTAATGAGATAAATTTCAATCAACCAAAGCAAACTCGCAGAGATCTATGGATCGTGATCACTTCAACCAATCAACCAACCAATCAGCCAACTGATCAGATAGCTAATAGGTTATCAATCACTCAACGAAAGCGAATTCACAGAGATTTAAGCATTATGGTCACCTACAACTATCAATTAGAAACCCCACCCGAAGGTCAAACCGATTACGCGAATCGATTCAAGATCATCGGGAGGAGATGCGCGGCACAAAAACGCCAATTGACGAGACAATCAATAGACAACAATCATACAAGAGAATGCCTTTTCTTCAAGTTCGGACAGATACCATACCCTTTTCTCCTCGACTGCCCCTTTCCGTCGACATCAACCAATTGACCGACGAAGTCGATCAAATCTCTTTCAGCATACCCAAGAAAATCGCAAGCTCATCAACTTCGATTTTATGAGTACCAACCCCCCATGCAGATCAATCAACCAATCAATCAACGGATCAATCAACCAATCAATCAACGGATCAACCAACCAATCAATCAACGGGTCAACCAACGAACCAACCAACCAATCAACGGGTCAACCAACCAATCAATCAACGGACCAACCAACCAATCAATCAACGGGTCAACCAACGAACCAACCAACCAATCAATCAATCAATCAATCAATCAATCGGGCCATTTTTCACGAAAGCGGTGCCTTCTCAGCCACTCTAGCTTGAGACAACCACATATGTTTTTTCATCTGACTGAAAAATCGACGCGATTATGAATCCCAACTCTTCACTTTATTTTCAATTCGACTGGACAAGAAAGAAGTTCCTGACACGCGACCTCCTGCTCGTACCTTGTCTTTCAAGATCACTACATGATGACAATGATGATGACGTCTTCCTCGTCTCTCCCCGTCCCCGTAGATGAGAATGGCAAATGACCACAAGCCCACACCCATCAACAACGGCTCAGTCAAGAAAGGCGGTCAGGCATGCAATTACTATGAGGCGGCCAATCAGAACTCCGCCTCCCAGCGTGGCCACTTCTAGTAGAGAAAGCAATATACAGAAAGCAATATACACCTCCACCACACCGGATGAGAGAGAAAGAACAGAAGAGAACAAGAGGAGATCAGGAGGAGACTACGACAAGAGGAGATCAGGAGGAGAGATGTGCCACATGCAAAGCTGACGAGAGAGAAAGAACAAAGAGAAGAGAACAAGAGGAGATCAGGACGAGACTACGACAAGAGGAGATCAGGAGGAGAGATGTGCCACGTGCAAAGCTGACGAGTAAGACAGGACGAAGGACAGAAGAGGAGGGGGGGGGCGGGGCGGGGAGAGAGACAGAGTCAGACAGACAGAGAAAGGCAGAGAGAGGCAGAGAGAGGCAGAGAGAGACAGAGAGACAAAGAGAGAGAGAGGGCGGATGATAGCGAAGTAGTCAAGGAGGAGGGAGTACGGGCGCTGCGTGAAAGGGAGGGATGAGCGAGGCTCGACACGGAGAGAGAGTGCGAACTAGAAGAAGAGGACCATTTAGAGGACCATTTAGAGGACCATTTAGAGGACCTTTTAGAGGACCATGAGTATAGTCGTAATAGGGAACGTGTTCTAAGGAAGACCAGCGCTTCTCCTGGTTAACCTAAAAAACGCTTGCAACAACATGAAGCAAGAAAGGAAGTTGAGCACAGCAAGAACAACCTATAAACGTTGACCCTTGAGAACTATGAGCCGGGCAATTCGACAGAACGAAATCCGACATCCGCAAACGCTGACACATTAGAAGCTAGCTGTTGTGCTGTACAAGGCAACCACATACAGAAAGAAATGCTGTTTCGTTTTTCCAGAGACCTGTCTACGACGCACCTGAGTTTCCCCTGATTACCCTTAAATCCCCTTCTTCTCATCAAATCTACATCGCCCGCCCTCGTTTTATTAGAACCCAATCAATGGGCCAGATCAATCGACCAAACAATGCATCAATCCTTATGCGGGTGTGCCTCTCTCACACCTCCACTTAATGCCATCAGATCGGAAATTGATCCTCGTGACATCCGTGATGAAGACGACCACAGCCCAGTCAATCAATTAGTCAATCAATTAGCCAATCAATCAATCATTTCTGGCGACCGTCCTTTCTCATTAATTAGCCCATCAATCAATCGTTCACTCGCATTGCCTATGGGGATAAAGCTCTCCGCACCACAGCCCATCCAAGTGGCCAGCAATACACCCTCTCAAGCAACCAACTAATCAGTCCATCCATCAATCAATCGATCAAACTATATATCAATCGATTACACTGATCAATCAACCAATCATCCCATCCTCTTCTATGGATCGAGTAATCCATCAACCAATCAACTTCTGAATTAAGCTGTCAATCACAGACTCAATCAATCGATTACACTGATCGATCGACCAATCATCACCAGCCCTTTCCACGGATCAATTAATCAGCCAACCCATCAGATTGCTAATTAAGCGAACTCATACAAAGATCGTTCACAATGTCACCTCCAGTTATTCACTGAGCTTAAGCTGAGTGAGGCGTGCTTCCACTCATCCATGGCATGGGCGCTCGATCTGGTGAAACATCGACGCCGCAGGCTAAAATTGACGCAGGGGTCTAAAATAGACTACCCCATACTCGCCTTTTCGACTGTCGGACTGACTTGTCCTCTTCTTTTTTATCTCTACAAGTTCGCGTACCTTATCCACTTTCCTAAGCCGCTCTCTTCTAAAGCTTTATCAATCTCGATGGCACTTCGTCGTGTATTAACCATGCCAGGCACTACTGGGCGTCGTGTATTAACTCTACTGGGCACTTCTGGGCCTGTAGCAGCGCATATTCGTACAAGTACTACCCTCCAAAATGCAAAATCAAAATGAATCTTCCGCTAGAACACTCAAAGATACACCGCCATAATTTTTGTCTTTTCGTGCATGCGAGAGTAGTGGAGCGAGGCCCTATATCACCATAACAGCATCTACACCATTGGATAGGAAGAAATTCCTGGTCGGAACACACCTACAAGCTCACATTGACACTCCCCAGGACTGTTCCAAATAAAAAAATAGGAAAAGATGAGGCCCAATATGATGCCAGATCTTTTAGGAGTGAGTCAGATCTCATAGGACTGAGTCAGAAAGGTGGGCCGCAGGCCGTGGGAAGATTAGAGGGCGGGAGGGGCCACTTCACCAAAAAAGCGAGGAGAACTACTCGCGCTCCGTAGGACCTGACCCTTCTGTTCCTGCGCACGTTTGCGTATGCTATGAGTGCTGTGAGCGGGCGTGGACTGGAGGGCGCTGCTCGAGAAGCATCACAAGCTGCGGTGACAGGCCAGACCCCTGTGACTTATACTGTTTCTGGCCAAGGCAGTGGTTGTAGCCGACCCACCAGGTGTGGTGCTCCGCTAGTGACAGAGATGGAGATGGAGGAAGAAGGGGGAGCAAGATGGCACAACGCAGCTCCCCAC